ATTATGGCATTTCCTTTTTCGATCAGCTCCATTGTTGATGTTCAATTTTACGATTTTATTATGATCTATCTCTACCCATTTTCAAAAGGTTAATTAAGTACCAAAGTAATGCACGATAAGGATAAATCACATTCATATCTCTAAAATAAATATATAAATAATAAGGTTTCAATAAATATTAATTTCACATGTTCAAAAGACATTATTTTCAATCCCATTATTAGAAAAAATAAATAAGAAAATACAAGTTTATAACTTTTTTGTTTATCAAGGGGTTGGTGTAAATGTAAATTACATCTAACTTTGGTTAACAGTTGTTTTCTCTCTCCTCCTTCAACCTTTTGGTATTTTTTTTATTTTCTCTCTCCGCCTTCAACCTTTTATTGTTTCTCTCTCCTCCTTCAACATTCAATTTTATAAATGTAAAACACACCTTTTATTTCACTATGACATCGAACAAGTGACATCTATGGAGGAAGAATAGCTTGCCTACTCTTTAGGGTTAACCATGCTCGTTATTTTCACTTTGTTATTTGGATTTTTGTTTAATTTCGAAAATAGTGGTATGAAGTTGAATTTATTGGAAGAAGGAATCTCAGCTACCCTTTAGGGTTAACCATTCCATTAATTTCTTCATTTGTTATTAGGATTTTTGTTTAATTTCGTCATCGAAGCCCGGAGGAAATAGTGTCAAACGGACTTGAAAGAGGAGGTAAAAGTGGGCAGAGATTACAGGAAGAAGATTAAGGTGGGTTGGAAGAAAAAATATGAACAAGAAGAAGATGATGAACATGAAAAAGATGATGGTGAGAGGAAGAAAATGACAAATAGTAGCAAATAGTGAGTTAACGGTGTTCATATTATTAAGCTTTTAATTATATGTTTTAGTGTCACGTTATTTGAATTTATCGCTTATATTTTTTGAGTTTGACCCTTAATCTTCATATTATTAATTATTTGTATGGATTTGAAGATTGATGATGATGATATTCTTGTAGGAGCTCCTCTATTGATGATTGATTTTCAGATCTAAAGAACATTTGTAATACTAATAAAGAACAATGATGATCTTGTGCAATGAACAATATTTATATCTACCGAGCATGATTCAAAAAATAATTCGAAAAACATTTCACTATAAGTATTTAACATTATGTGAATATAAAAGTACATTACAGTTACATTCAAATTAAAGAATATGGACATTTAAATTAGTTTATCAGAAGATCCAATCAAGATCATTACATGATACAATAATAATAATGAACATATGGAAAACAATTTGTGTTAATAATTTATTATACATTAAAAACAAATATAAAGTACGTCATGTGTTTCGGGTAATGAATATTATTAAATTATATGAATATTGTAATTATATATAAAATAAATAAATATAGTGAAAAAAATATGGCCGAAATAAAATATTTTAACAACTAAAATTTTGTAAATGAAATTTTATTTTTTAATTTTGATATTTGAAAATAAAATCTTGAATTATTTTTGGGAGAAATTAATTTAAGAAAGAAAATTAATGACATGCTCTTTTCTATATACATCCAAGCTCTTTATACCTTATAACAATTTCTTTTCTATATACATCCATGTATTTTACACCTTATAATTATTAACATGCTCATGGTGCACCCAGGTGCACAGATTAGTAATTGGCTTGTTCGGCATCGTTTTTTGTTTTCAATTTTCTGAATTTTTTTTTAAACAAAAAAAAAAAAAAAAAGGAAACAAGAAAAGGATGTTTCCACAATTCTGTTGCTGGTTTTTAAAATTATCATGATTTTAATATGTTTCACTAATTTTGTTCGTTATATGACAAATATCAATTTGAAAAACAAAAAATCAAATAACAAAAAACCACAGTGATGTCAAACGAACCCTAACCTAATAATAAGTGTTATGTATTGATGTTATAAAGCTATATATTGTTGAAAATGAGTCCTAAATCGCATTACATAAAATATTAGGACTGAATATTTGACAAATTTAAAGAAAATAGTAAAAAAATAACAATGTTTAGAGGGGTTATTATAAGAAAGGAATTACCGATGGGGTAAAGCAATAAATTAGTGTCTGGAGACTTATTATCCAAGCTATTTGTAGAGTCCTTGTATTTTTCTTCAAGAGCACCTAAATGAATGTTCTAGAGGATGTTAATTTTTATTTTATTTTTTTTCCAATCAATAGTAATTAAGAAAATTAAATTATTCTATGATGATGGAAAAATCTAAAATACTATGAAAAAGATGGAATAGACTATAAACAATTTTGGAATGACCTATTTGGCCATATATAGCTCCCTACTATGAATACCAATATAATCCATACCGTACAAAACGAAGTATATGACATGCATTCAAGCATGATACAACGAAGTAGCATGTGGGTTACGGCCGGCCTAGTTGGCTTTTTGAATATTTTTACACGACCTATAGCAAGTGGACTAAGTCTTTGGTTGGACCTTACCAAGCATTAGGCACATAAGTGTCACACAACCTCTACAATATTATTTACTAGTACTGTCAAAAACCGAACCGAACCGGGGAAACCGAACCGATTCAAACCGATCCGAATGAGAACCGAACCGTTTAGAAACCGCTTTTTTTAAACCGAAAACCGACCCGAACCGCATTTTAGTGAACCCGAAACCGAACCGATTCGAGTAACGTTAAACCGTTTAAGAACCGAACCAAAATCTAAACCGAACTGAAAGGAAACCGAACCGAAAATGAACCGAACCGTTTCTAACCCGAAACCGTTTGAACTGCCATAAAAACCGTTATAAACCGAACCGTTTATAAACCGAACCGTTTATAAACCGAACTGATTATAAACCGAACTGTTTATAAACCGAACCGTTTATAAACCGAACTGATTATTAACCGAACCGTTTATAAACCGAACCGCTTATAAACCAAAATGTTTATGAACCGAATCGCTTATAAATCAAACCATTTACAAACCACTTACTACTAGGAGTGGTTATTGGGCGGGTCAATGCGGGTCATTAGCGGGGCGAGTACGTTGCGGGTAAAGGTCAAGTCAGGGTCAAGATAAAAGTGAAACGGGCTATTAACTTCTACTTTCTTTTATCAGTTCCTGTGTTGCCAGTGAGAATGCTCTTAATATTAGTCAAGCAAATCGTTACTACTTTTTTTTAGTTTGATGACTCTCATTACAGTAGAATTATATAACTACAACAAAAATAATAACCAATAATTCAAGACAAATAAGGAACAAAATATCAATAATGTAATGTGATTAAAACTATTAATATTTGTTCTATGAGATTAAAACATTTTAGCAAAAGCCTGAACCACAATTCCATATCTTAACTAGATGCAAAACTTTCATCTATCACTTCTTTACCAATGTCAAGGACGTCTTCTTCAATATCACAATCATAACCACGTAACCAATTTTGTGTTGTAACCAACGCCTCAACATTCTTAGGCAAAAGCGCACTCCTATACTTGTTTAAAATACGACCACCCATGCTAAAAGAAGACTCAGAGGCTACCGATGTAATAGGAATGGCCAAAACATCCCTAGCCATAACAGCTAATATGGGGTACACACTAATTTGAGATTCCCAATACTTGAGAACATCATATTTCTGCCCTTCATAAATTGGTTGCCGAGGAGTACACAAATAAGAATCAATCTCCATCGATGGCCGATTTGATGGGCCATCCTCATCATCATCATCATCAACATACTAGAAAAGTTCAAACAAAATGCTTTATTAAATAATAAAAATTAAAACATACAATTATTAATTTTGTAAACCACAATAAACAGAAATTGATTACCTTGAATATGTCATCATCCAAGTGACTATTTGATTTATCGATAATAGCTGGGATGGAGGGTGGAACAATTGTACTTGATGTAACACCGAAAGACATAGAATAATAAAAGTTGTACAACTCCAAAAGAGCATCTTTAATTACCTTCGCCTTTTCAACACATGCCTCATCAACATAAAGCACTTTTAACATCTTCGTCACTCGAACAAGCTTATAGCGTGGATCAAGAACAATAGCAATTGAAAGGATCAAACTATATTCATCCCAATAGCCCTCAAACTTTTCAAGCATAACTTTTGCCATGGGTGCAAGTTTAGGGTCTATATGCGCTTTACTTATTGTGTGCTCAATTTTTAAAACACTAGCGAAATACAAATTTGCAGTAGGATATTCTGAACCAGAAAATAACACAGTGATTTCATAAAATGGCTTTAAGAAATTACATATTTTAGTAAGGGTATCCCATTCATCATCCGAAAGTTTGAATTCATAACCCATAAACCTATCGATAACCAATTTCAAGGCTTCCTTTGCTTCTAAAGCTTTTCGGAGCATCGTATAGGTGGCATTCCAATGAGTCACAACATCAAGACGTAACTTTCCATTAAACACACAGTTAACCTCATGAAGAGCATGCTCAAATTGAGTGAGTCTAGAGTCTGAAGAATCAATATATTTACAAACCTCACGCAATTTTTGAACACTACTATCAACTTCTTTTAAACCTCTTTGAACAATAATGTTCAAGACATGAGCTGAACATCGAATATGAAAAAATTTACCATTACAAGGAAGAGGAGAAGTCAACATTAAATCTTTCTTCAAAAGGTTAACCATAACATCCATGGATCGAGCATTATCAACAGTCATTGCAAAAGCTTTACCCTGAAGGTTCCACTCCCCAATAAGTTTTAACACAAATTTTTCTACCTCAACACCAGTATGAGGAGGACCACAATAACGAAAATTCAGAATTTTAGACCTAAGACACCAATCTTTATCAACATAATGTGCCGTTAAAGTGAGATAACCTCGATTAGTGCATGCTGTCCACAAGTCACAAGTGAAGCTAACTCTACCTTCAATTCCAGATAAAGATTGCAACAACAAAGACTTAAACTTATCATGCTCAGCAATACAATATTTCAAAATAGTGTTTCAACACACATGGTTCACGTTGGGATTCAGATTCGTAAAAACTTCCCTAAGGCCATGATGCTCCACAATACTTAAAGGATAAGAATGCAAAATTATAGCTCTAGCAAGCAATTGTAAATGACGAGTTTGATTAAACGGGAGCTCAACACCAATTTCATGATTTCCTGGATGGTGTGGATTTTTACCCATGCATGTCTTAGTATGAGCTTTACAAGTTGAAGTACCAGCCTTACCTGGTGTTTTATATTCATTACCGCAAACATTGCATCGAGCATATTTTATCGGCGCAAGACCAACCATCTTATCAAAAAAGGTGTAATACCTCCAAACATCTGATGTTCGTCCACGCTTACTACCACTAGTGGTATGTTGAGTAGAATCTTGATTCTGAATAGTAGAATCCTCATCAAAACCGATAAACTCTTGCTCCATTGCTGAAAAAACAGAAACACAACAGCCTAAATCCAAATATGCCCCAAGAAGACAAAGTACAACTGTTAAGTTAGCCAATAAGGCACTATTACTAAAATCAATTGGCAAGCAAATTACTTTCACATATACTGTAACTTAAAATAACTCTATTAATTAACCATTAATATTTAATACCATGCACCCAAAACTAAACCAGCTAATCTGAACCAAATTAGTGTTGACTATTTCACACTAAAATTTCCAACCAATCATACTATTTAGTAGTGATACACTACCAGATTTATAAATTACTAAAATTAGTAGTAGTTGCTTTATCTAATTTACTTCAATAAGTCAAAACAATGGATTAAAATGACAAGATTCTCTTTCTATTGGAAACAAACCAACTTGCATTAAACTATAATTAGCACACAAAAATTCTTTAGTGTTTATACCTGATCATAACATTAGAATGATATTTTAAACTGAAATAGTGTAATGATTTATTGGGTTCCCTACCATACAAAAATTCTAATGCTTTTATAACCACAAGATTTGTCTCCCACTGTCCCTTAGATATTCATAATAGAGGGTGATTAGTATATGCCATCCTGGTCTATAGTTCAGGAATTATATGAACAACAAAAAACAAAAACAAAACAATTAAGTGAAAATTACCTGGAGCTGTGACGGCTTGAAGGAGAAGAAGAATTGAAGATGGAGAACTGGAGATCGAACAAAAAAAACGACAATAGAGAACTCGAGATCGAAAATAAACCGAAATAAAAAAAAAAAAATTAACTGAAAAATTACCTTGAGCTGTGACGGCTTGAAGGAGAAGAAGAATTGAAGATGGAGAACTGGAAATCGAAAAAAAACTAATTACATTTGGAGAAATTGAGATCGAACAAAAAACCGAAATAAAAACAAAAAAAATTAAGTGAAAATTACCTGGAGCTGTGACGGCTTGAAGGAGAAGAAGAATTGAAGATGGAGAACTGGAGATCGAACAAAAAAAACGACAATGGAGAACTCGAGATCGAAAAAAAAAACCGAAATAAAAAAAAAATTAACTGAAAATTACCTTGAGCTGTGACGGCTTGAAGGAGAGGAAGAATTGAAGATGGAGAACTGGAGAACTTCAGAGTGAGTAAGGATTCAGCGCTTGAGGATGAAGAAGAAGAACCGAAGAATCAGTGTTTGATGTGGAGCAAAACGGCGAATTGAAGATGATGAATGAAGAGGAGATGACCTAACCAGGCTAATTCAATTCACGTTTCACCACTGTTTTTTTTTTTTTTTTTTTTTTTTTTTTTCCTCTTTTGCAATATATTATTTAATTATTTAACAACCAAAATATCTAAATTCTAAATTTAAAATTTGTTTTTCCTTTTAGTTTTGGAGGGAAATTTCCCACCTTTCATATTTTGATGAAATTGTCAACCAAAAAAATGAAATCAATTTTCCACTTTGTAAAAATCAAAATTTTTAATTTTATTTTAATAACATTAAACGAAATTTTATACAATTAATTAATTACATGGCTTCAAAAAAAAACTAATTACATTTCTCGAATCCCGATAAAACGAAATATGCCTTCATAATATCAGCTTTTATAATTTTTTTTAACACACACATTAAAATATTAAGTTCTTTAAATTATAAAATGTGAATCGGTTAGCGTGTAAATGTCTAGCGTTGCGATTAATAAAAAATCGAACACTGTTTAATAATATAATGACGTCATATATCTTAGAGAGTAAGAAGTACTACGGATTAGTTATATGGTTATTTTATATCAGTTTAGTTGTACCTATAAGCAAATACACTTGTAATCGTGTAAACTTATAAATTGTATAATTGACTAGTAGATTAGTACATAAATACAAATTACTTATTTAGATATGAGTTATGACTACATGAGTGATTGACTAATATGACTATATCAGCAATTGTCAATTTAGCATAGTTGCATAACAGATTAGCAGTGTACTAGACTATCCTACTAGGTAATATACTAATACCATTTCAGTATTTGATCTATTAGACTCAAGTTAAACGCTACTCTTTCTTATTAACTTGTTAGTCTAATTAAGTAATTACTAATTACTAATTAGTAATTAGTGACATAAGCCTTAGGGGTAAACCAATAAAGGATATAGAAAAATATAATAATCTTATGATTCTCATCCCTTTATACTAATAATATTTAACTATGAGAATATGAGATGGTTATATGTTATTTATATGTTAATATGTATAATCGGTTGAAAGAGTCAATATTACCTTCTTCTTCATTAATGTGTTATTTGATTATACAAATCAAACTACTTTGTAATATATAACTTTATGCAAATATATAATGATAAACAAGTCTTAATTATCAGTCTTGTTGACTAATTAAGTATCGAATACCAAATTGAAAATTTCGATGTCACAATTACTCATCAAATCATGATTATGACATTATTAATTAACTAAATGATCAAATAAGAAGCAGATAATAATCTGATAGTAAAACAATAATACATTAATGCACTAAACTTTTATAATCTACTTCCTAATAAACTAGTAAGATCAGTATGGCTAAACTAAATACATAACATGATATGTATTTATAAAATTAATGAGAATTTGCATATAATATGATGCCTCAATATGAAGTGATGAAGTCTCGACTTGATATAAAACTTGTTAACTAGCAAAAAGTTAGAAAGTAGTATAAAATTTCAAACCAAAACTGTTTGATTGCCCAAATCCAAACGACTCGATAAAAAACCGGTTTTTTGAATCAAAACCAGACTCGAACTGTAATTTAGTAAAGCTGAAATAAAACCTATCCAAGTAATGTTAAATCGTAGAAGAACCGAACCCGTTAACGAACCGAACCAGTTATAAACCGAACTAAAATGAAACTGAACCAAAAAAGAACCGAATCGTTTCTAAACCGAAACTGTTTGAACCGGGATAAAAACCGTTTACACCGAACCGTTAACAAACCGCAACCTGTCTGCACCGAACCGTTTACTACCCGGACTGTTTACAACCCGGACCGTTTACAACCCGAACCGAATTTAAACCGGGATAAAAACCGTTTACACCGAACCGTTATCAAACCGCAACCCGTCTGCACCGAACCGTTTACTACCCGGACCGTTTACAACCCGGACCGTTTACAACCCGAACCGAATTTAAACCGGGTTAAAAACCGTTTACACCGAACCGTTAACAAACCGCAACCCGTTTGCACCGAACCGTTTACTAACCGAACCGTTTAGAACCCGAACCGAATTTAAACCGTTCAAGAATAAACCGAAACCGAACCGAACCGATAATTATTTAAACCGAACCGAAACCGACCCGTAAGACATTTGAACCGATTTCAAACCGACCCGATTTCAAACCGAACCGATTTCAAACCGAACCAAAACCGAACTGTCAAACCGTTTTGACAGTGCTATTATTTACTAATAGTAGTCATGATTGCAGGAGATCAAACAACCTAGATAAAAATAAAATTCAAATCAAAAACAACTTTTGACCAAGAATGAAATGGATAAGATCACACTCTAAAAGTCCATTGCATTTTCATGTCACTATGGGCAACAATAATAGTGTGAATTACAAGATGTCATTGTAGCTTAATTTTCTAATCATGCTACCATGAAACATGCGTTAAAAACTAGAACAACCATGTATATGTTACTTAAAGAAAAGAATAAGTAATTAACTAAATACTTTATGCAATGAAATTTTAGAGTCGAAATTTACCTAAAAAATCATAGCACGACATAGCCTGATGCGAAAGTACCCCACAACACCAGCTATAATATTGGTGTGTGCACGCAACATCATCTCGCCATTTTTTACTATAATTTTTTATTTTATTTTTTTTGACTTGAAATATTGATTTTTGCCACCATAACATTCATTAAACCCTTCTCTCCTCCCCCACCCCCCCTCTTGTAAACTTTCCTTCACCACCACACACCCACAACTTGTTCATTGTTTACATTAGCCCCTTATTCTTAAGCCCGTATCTGGGGGCAGGGCAGGCGGGGCGGCCGCCCGGGGCCCCAGAATGGGAAGCCCAACTTTTGTTAAAATGAGTTCTGTAATTAAAGAACACAAGTCAAACCCATTATATTTCTTCCACTCCTCCCTATAATCTCGTGTTCTCATACTCTGTATAATTGAAAATAAAAGATTTTCATTTCCCAAAAATGACTCCAAAAGTTTATATTGTTTCCTTTATTAACTTAAATTCCTTAATAACCTCATCAAAATTTTCAATTTCCCAATCTAATTACTCTAACCCATATTCAAATCCAATAAGTTGAGCAGTCAATGAGGAAAACTTTTCATTAAAAACTTTACTCGCAAGGAATTCATCACACCCTTGAAGGTTCAATTTATTTGTTCCTAATTTAATTTGTAGGGGTTTATGTCAAAATTTTGATGCAATTATTGATGTTTTTGATGTATTTGTCATATAAAATTTTTGTGTGGCAATTTTTGCGCCGAAAATTGGTGGGTTATGTGTTTTAAAGATAAATAATTATTGGTGTGAATGTTGAATGTTGTGATATTAATTGGCTTAATTCATGTAAAATCAACTTTATACAGTATATTTTTTGAACAATAAAATCAAACTTTATATTGACTAATTCGTGTGTGTTTAGAAGACAATTGAATACACTATGGTGGAAGTGGTTTTTTTTTTCTTGATTTTTTTTAATCTAAAGCTTAGATAAAGAAAAATGTATATTTTCTGTGAATTATGATGTTAATAAGCAATATTCATTTTATCGTTTTTTGGCATACCGGCATACCCTTAAAATTCAAAATTTTATAATATCACTTATAAATTAGGGCCCCGAATTAATAATTCGCCCTAGGCCACTAAAATCTCAAAAACGGGGCTGCTTATTCTTCTATCATATTATGGTAACCCTATAGATTAAAGCCCATCCCACCAATCTTTCCTTATCTTAGCCTTACTAACTCATCATTCCATTCCCATCCAAACCACACACTCCGACCCATGAGCCACAAGCTCACTCTTATGATTTTTATCCCTTATCTTATACAAGTATAACGTCATAACTCATAACCTATATAATAGACTACCATTATATAGGCGAGGAGCTAAACACCACTAGCGTTTTACTAACTAGCTAGCATGGCCATTTTACCCCTTTCTCCATCACTCTTTGCTTCTTATCTTATCTTTTTCAACACCACTACCACATGCCTGAATTATCATAGCCATAGATCCCTAATGGTCGCAACTCCCCCGCCAGCGCCACAACGATCCTAAACATATTGAGAAATAATTAACATGTTAACATTTAAACCACTATATTACCACAGAGTAATTATTTTCCTGCCCCACTCTTTAACTTTCATTTATGGATTTTTTACTTTTACCACCAAAGAAAAATCCAAAAATTGTTTTTTACCACCAAAACTTTTAAAAGTTTTATTTTACCACCAAACCGAAAAATAAAAATTGTTTTTTACCACCCGCCATAAAAAATCTAACGTATTTTTTTTTTAAATTCTTTGATTTTCGTGCGTAAAACATGTTCTTCATAGGTTTAGGGGGCATTACATAACATAGGGTTGACAAAAAATGATCGAAAATGCCTCATTTTGCGTGTTTAATAATATCTTGATTTGCGTGAACATGCAAAAGAGGCATTTTCGATCGTTTTTTGTCAATTATGACCTCAAATTAAGTCATTAGGACCAAAATGTCCTCCTAAACCTATGATGAACATGTTTTGCGCACGAAAATCGATCGAAGATTTTTTTTAAATCGTTATATTTAACAGTTTTCTTAACAGTAGGTGGTAAAAAACAATTTTTAGAATGTTTTTTGTGATAAAATTAAACTTTTAAAAGTTTTGGTGGTAAAAATCAATTTGTTACCTTTTTTTTTTGTTGATAGATTTTAAATCACATAACAGTTACAATATTTTTCTTAAAACAGTAATTGCGATTTGCGATTATTCCAAAGGACAAAATAATATTAACGTGCATTCTCAATTTTCCTATAGCCTATGCATGAGCATGACATGCATGGGCCAAAAGGCTAATTGCGTATTTCAAAGCATTACCATTCAAAGTGATGCAGATAATTAACTGATACTTGGAATGAATTAGGGCATGTTCTTTTACGTTGAAATTCAGTTCAGTTCAGCTCAGTTCAGTTCAGTTTAGTTCAGTTCAGCTCAGTTCAGTTCAGTTCAGCTCCTAATTTCCTTCTCTTATAAAATATTCATTTCAGTTCAGTTCAGTTCAGTTCAGTTCAGTTCAGCTGAGTTCAGTCAATGTATGAGAACAGACCCTTAGTGGGAGTAAACAAATTGCACCTATAGAACCCCTAAAAAATAAAATTAGTAAAACAAACCATATAAAAGTTCTTAACATACTCTTGTAAATAAAATAAAATAAAAATATTACATACTCTCTTCTTCTAAATGTTTAAATATGAACTAAGAAATTAAAAATGACCAATTCATGAGCAAATTAAGTAGTGTTCATTGCATGTCTTCAACTCTATTATCTGGTGTTTTGATTTAAACAACTTAATTATCTAGATTTATATACCACATATTAATTTTAGCATAGACCTTCTAAGATAAGCATAAGAAAATTTATACAAAGTTGACTTTTGATTGAGGGATTCATGAGAGTCATTTATTACGATTACTTTTGTTGGTAAGATGATTGATCTTATGGAACTAGCATCTCTGATCTCACAGGTTAAGTTTAAGTACATAGGTCAATGCTTGGGAAAACTCTAGGCGCATAGTCCCTATATATTAAGGATGCAAATAGGATAACATTTTTGTAAATAATGGGAATCTAAAGGTGAAAAATATAATGACAAAAAGTACTACTACTTACATAATAGTACATAAAAAATACTATTCAAATAACTTATATTTTAATGGTACATTATACATGTATAGTAGTACACAAAAATGTACCACTATACTAAAATAAAAGAGAAAATGTACCACCTAACTCCACATTGCCTTCCTATGTGCATGCCAAATACATAGGCCCTATGCGCTTAGATGCACTCCAAATGCTTGAAAGTAGAGTAGGCTAAGGAGAGGAAAGGGAACCCCTTTACTTTCAAGAAAATGTCCCTTTACTTTCAAGAAAATGTGGTGGGGTTTAAGTCACAAGTTATGGTGAGTTTCCAACTAAATCATCAAATTTGCTTCATTATGAGAGTCACTTAATTAGGTCATTCTTTATAAGTACTCGGTACAATTAAAACATAATTACTGGACATGTGAATGATCACTATTTCATGCTACCTCTATACTCTAAAATCCTCCTACTATTTTAAACACTTGTACACTTGAAACTGATCGTAATAATGTTAGTAAAAAAATTGAGGTAACATAAGGAAATGAATAGAATATGTACAGAATATTTGCTAGCGGGGCTAATGTAAGAGTGTAAATAGTCCTGGTTATTTGGCGGGTGGACCCAAGGTTGATGCCGGTCGAGTTTAACAGGGTTACGTTTTATAGGGCCAATAGCAAATCGGGTCAATGCGGGTCGCAAGTCAATAGCGAGTAGATAATGGATGGACCAAAAAAATATCAATTAGAATAAATATTGGACAAAGTCATTATTTAATTAACTTTATATAAATACAAAGTTTCATATATGGCTGATCACACCATGTGTCGGGGTTACTTATTTTAGGGGCTACCTAGGCCAGTTAGTGTTTTGGTGTGTATTAACCGGCTAAACACAGAAAGTGCATCGAATACAAAAATATCTACGCAATTATTTTTACAATATTTATTTTCTTTATTTATTAAATTAGAAAAGTATGTTATAGACCCTACATCCGTACCCAATCTCCATGCCCATTAAAGACCCTATTCATTAAGAGCTCTTAAAGCTTTGACCCTAAGCCTATTATCTACCCTACCTAATAACCAAGTCTTAGTGTAACAAATATCGAGTATAAATTTTCACAATAACAATGATCCTAAGCTAAAATATAATGAGCAGTTAGTTTCAAAATGGATGAAAAATACAAGTGTTACGAGTAATCATAAACGAAGGGCGCAAAAGTAAGGAATTGTAACTAAAAATGTGGAATCAAGGTGCTAGGGAACTTACAAGAAGCAGAGGAAGGTAACTTATACGTATTAACGTATACGTATACCATGTGACATGTGTATTAAGAAAAATGTACCAACTTTTTTCTCCAATCATTCGCAAATATTCTTGCAAAGAAGAGTCTGCAAACTTTGTGGTTAGATTTGGACAACAAGTCCAGGAAAATAACAGTAGCCCAACTCCGACGATCAAATAGTGCTAATAAGCTATAAATCACGTCTTTCAGTTTGTCCCTTAATCGTGCGCAGTCGTAACACTTTATTTCTAACCATAGCATATTTGTTTTCTTCTTACAACTTCGATCTCTTTAACTTTTCTATAGCTGAAGACAGACCCAGAGGAAATTTTTCAAGATCAGCCGAAAAGCTTGATGATTAACGGATGATAGTACCCTCTTAATCTTGATTAACAGAACATAATCTAGCAAATTACTTTCGCAAATTTTAAGGCAGTTTCACTTGTTCCATTTTTTGGCCTGTAAAAACTAGGGAGTAGTATTTTCTCTTTTTGGTTTCTGACTTTTTGTTCTGTTTATGGCAACCGATATTGCAAGTAATAGCCCATATATCCTCACCCCTTAAAAAGTTTCACCTATGCACCTTATGAACAGTGTTCGAGCATGGGAATCACATGTGTGAGAGCATTTGCACTTCACATGCATGTTTTTTTTTTTTTTTTTTTTCCCTTCAAGAAAGTCACATGTCTACTTTTATTTCTGCACTTCTCTTTCTTTATTTGATAGCAACTTTGCTTTTTACCTTGAAATTAGCCACTTTGTTTGTTTTTCTTATTTTTCCAAATGTCCTCTTGATTCTCCCACTCCCTACTTTCAAACGTTCCAAGGTTTGATTTATTAATGTTTTTTGGGTTCAATTTTTTGACAAGTAGGAATTTTGATTTAGATTTAGATCAAGATTTAATCATGATTGCTTTGATTTGATTGATGGTTAAGGATTCGGAAGCGTTACCGTTGATGGAGGATAAGTCTGTTTCACAACTACCAGTTGACAAGGTGTCGACTACCGCGGCGGCAGTATTTCGAGATTTTTGGGGTTCTAATAAATCCTCTCGCTCCTCCATTGATCCGAGGTAAATTTTTTTATCAATTTTTCAATTATCGAATATCAATCTTACAACATTTGGTGTTTTTCTATCTCTAATATTACTCTTTCTCTATGTTTCTTTACTCTTAATTCTGCAATTTCGAATGTTTTTCTATCTCTGTGTATGTGTGTAATTTTGTTGATTTTGAGTGAATTTCTGTATTTTGTGTGTTTCTTTTGATGGATTTGATTTTTGTTTATTATGAAATTCTTGTTTCTTTTTTCCTCCTTTTAGCTGGAATTTTACTCCATTTTTGCAGAATATATGACTTTATGGATCTGAAATGTGCTTGATTTTAAGTTGTTTATGTATACTATTGCAGAAAGTTGTGATGTTTTGTATTTTTAATAATTTTATAGAATCATTACTACCCTAACAGCACTTAGGTGAGTGTGGTTAGTGAGTGTGGCCGAGTAAAATGCCCATCCACTCAGCACTATCAAACTCCGAGAGACCGAGGAAAGGAAGGACAAATAGCCGATAATGATGAAAGTCATAACTCATTTTTAATAATTTGTCCTTAGTGAGTGTGGTTAGTGAGTGTTTGATGTTTTGAGGCGGAAAGAGGGCTTACCTAGGTTTGGTGATGTGTTAGGGCAGTGATTGGTTAAGGTAAGGTTATCTTCTATTACAAAAGAGGACTTTGTGACTCTTTGAAGGTCTTTGAATTGGTTAAGGTAAGGTTATCGAAGTCAGTGTTTTCCGGAGGATTATACTGTATCTGTACTTATTGTGTCTAGGAGTTAATGACGCCTTTAAAAAGGTGGGTTTACAAGGGCGTCTATCTTTAGATAGAAGCGAATAGAGCAAGAGGATCTTTGTGGATTACCATTGAAGTTAGATTTTTTTATTTATGCAGTTGATCTTATCAAGTTTGATAATAAGACCTTGGCTTTGTTATTGTTGTTGGTGTCTTGTTGTGTTTGCTTTTTTTTTTTTTTTTTTTTTTTTTTTTTTTTTTTGGTTTCTGATCAAGTATCTTGGTGGTCTTTAGGAAGTAATCTTAAGGAGTTAGAGGGTGATTTGCTTTTGTGATTGGATAATGCAGAACTTTTAGGAGATATGACTGGCTGAATAGGCCTTCTCGAAGCTTGACAGGGTACCTCACTGTTATTTATACTTATCCTTGTCATTCCCTTTTAATTTTTCTCTTTGATAATTTATTAATGTGGGGCTGAAAATTTGGAGAAGCTTAGGACAGTCTTATTTGGACAAGGGTCTGTGGTGGTACTTTGTTTGCAACCTAAAGAGAAGGGAGGTTGTGCTGATGGTAATTGGGTCTTTGTAGTGATTTTCTTTATGGGTATATTGTTATAGCAATCTTCTTTGAAGAGTTATCTTCACTATATGGAATTAATGGTTAGGACATGCAGGAACTAAAACTTCTTCTTCCAGGCTAAGTTATCCTGGGTGATCTGAACTATGCGACACTTTCTTAGGCACTTTAGATGATGTTAATTGTGAGTTTGTTATTGGAATACTCTTTATTGATTTTCTTGAAGAGGACAACCAGCCTTCAATGTACCCTTTTCAATCCTATTTAGTAGAATTTCACTTTATCATTAAAGTAAAAGACATTGAGACCTCAAGGGACATGAACTAGGACAGTAATTAAGTTCCATCAAGATGCAGTTGCCAAATTTGAAAAGTTCTTTAAACCTTAAGCTTAGGAGTGTTATGCTTCAGTTGGATGTTGATCCTAACAAGTCCTTTTCAGTGTCACTCTGTGTAGCTTTTAGGAGAATAGATGACTTCTACTTTGATCATATAGCTTTAGTGCTTAAATAAATGTTTTTTTTTAATATAGCATGATGGTTCCATAGCTTATCTTGACTTATTGTGAAGTAGCAAATGGTTGTGGCATTTTAGATACCAATGTTATTGCGAGGGTAAGGTTGAAAACTTGAAATTGCATGTGTGGTACATGTGATCCCATATATGTTTAAAGCAAGAGGTTCTCTAGAGGCACTAGGATTATATTAATATAGAAGTCTATGCGGCATTTGAATTATTGTTGTATAGCTACTTACACTGTGACTTGCAGGATAAATGACCTACATTTTGCTCTTCTGTCGAATCAAACCCTGTGAAGGACATGTGTTTGGATCAATGAGACTGATCTCTGTTGCTCTATCAGATTTCATGTGGTTTAGTGTATATGTCATTGTTCGTTTCTGGAGTGTGCTATTATAACTGTGTTTTAGTGTATATGTTTTCCTTTCAGAAAAAAGAAGTTTTCCATGTTTATCTATTGTTCTTTAAAAGCCGGGTATGATTGTAGGAGTTCCTTTTTTTTTCCAAGGTTCTGTAACAAAAGCTACAATTTCTCCTGTTCCATATTGCTTAAAAGCCGGGCCACCGGCTCATGTAAGAACATTGCGGAAGGGGTCAAGTGATCATATTGCTGTAAATATTAATTAAGAATCAAGTCGATTGTTGGATAATGAACCCTTAGTATAAAGGTCTGTATAATAATGGGTTGAGAACTTTCTGCTTACATTTTTTAATAACTTTGGGATGATTAAATTTTACCTCTTTTTTTCAGGTCATGTCTTCAATTCAAGTCTCTTATTACATCAGGTCTTGTTCCAGTACAAGGAAAGATGTTAGCTCATCGGATTGATGGAATATGATATGGTAAGCTTTTATCTCATCTTGAATCTACTTCATGGTTAGAATGTACAAACAAATTAGTGAAACATAAGATTGCATTCCAAAGTCGATTACATTCCAGAAACAATAAGTGCTTCTCATCCATGATGGATACATTTTTGGTTGAACCGACTTAGGGAAGTTAATGTTATGGGCTTATGGCTTCATTTGACAAACCAATATGATTAGTAGCCAAAGCCTCCCATCTTAAGTAACTTTATAATCTTGTAGTCATACTCATATCTCATTTGCTACCGTGGTACTAATTCTTCTTTTCCAATTCATGCAGGGTCGGTTGTTAATGAGTCGGCTACGAGCTCCATCTTGGGTTTATTGCATTGGCTCCTTTTGCACATATGGTTGTTGGGAACCATCTTGTAATTGAAGTTTGGCTGTAAGGATAGATTTCTAGACCACACGCAACAACAATATTATACTTTAGATTTGTATTGGATTATAGATATAGACATCTAGTGTTATCTACTAAATTAATTTTGTTGATGTTAATAGTAATATATTATTCATTTATTCATTCTCTGCTTTTTTTATAATAAAACTTTCTATCTTGATAGAACAATAATGTCACAAAGAGATTTCTTTGTCTTCATCAAGGCCCATAGTCCCCATACTCTAATGATCAACAATAACATGAATGTTACCTATTTGACAAAATTGCTCTACGGGTGGCTTATGTGTCAGACTAAAATTGCTATTTTTCACCTTGTGCAAAACCAAAATGAATTCTACACTTGTGGCTATTTAATTTTTTTTTTCTTTAAAAAAAAAAAAAAAAAAAAACGAAATGAATTGAAAGGAATTTTAAAATTAACTTCGGACATGAACTAAACTGATTGCCTGATTGGAGCTGAGCTGAATTGAATAGAGCTGAAATGAATATTTATGAAAGAAAAAAAATTAAGAGCTGAACTAAACTGAACTGATTAGAGTTGAACTAAATTGAACTGAAGTTAAGCTGAAGTGAACATGCCCTTCATGTTGTAGTGCGTATAAATTAGAATGTGAATATGATAAGTTCGATTAATCATAAATACTATGAGCTAGATTCTTCAATTTCCAAACAACTTTTTCATAACAAATGATTCAGTGAGTCTAAGTTCCCTTGTAGAACACCCTTCAATTACAAATTACTATTAACTTTTTGAATCGAAATCACTCATATCAGCTCTTGATCCCTTCATATAGGTCTTCTGTATAGAAGGATAGCTTTATTGAATTTTCCATGAAAAAGGGGTGCGAGAGGTTTTGACAAGGAAAATGATGTCATGTTACTTTAGAATGACAATTTCATGCACCGTCCAAGAGTAAAGGCGAAATTCGGAAGCAATAGTGGCTTACATTGCTGTATAATCATGGTAAAGTGCGACATATAATTTTAGAGTATTTTGATATCATTGTTTAACACATTTGAAGACCAGGGATTACTTTTATGCAAGTATGATTGTATGAGGGTTTTATATTACAAAGAAGTTCAATGATCAAATATGATTTTTTTTTTTTTTTTTTTTTTTGACACACAAATATGAATGGCTGTTTCTCAAGAATAACATGTTATGTTACTGAACATAACATTAATGAACAAAAGTAAGCAAAAATGTAAAAATGTTAAAAAAAAATTCAGATTTACTATGTTTAACGGGAGAGAAATAGAGGATTAGTAAACCTATGAATGTGTGTAAATCATCATTCTAACTAAATCATCATTTGGCTTTTCATACTTTTTCCTTCAAAAATTAATGGGAAAAATGTGGAATATTAAGAATAGGAAAAATTGTCTCTCCCAAATGATGATTATTTAAATCATCATTCTAACTTTGTCCCATGCACCCAAAGTAATCCCAACTTTTGATTATTTAATTATTTTTAATAAATCCCAACTTTATACCCTTTTAATTTTTATCGCTCCCAAATGACTTGAACTGGTTGAAAAGCTAAACCTTGCTGACTTGGGATTATTAAGACACGATCATACTAACCCCAAACGATCATACACTAACCCCAAGAGTAATTACACCATCTCATTTTTCATAAAGATTCTATAAAACTGCTTTACGCGCAACGCGAGCGTAAAGTAACCCTAGTATAAACAAGTATTGAAGTATGTGTCATGTATGTAATTACATAAAGTGACATGTTAAATATGAAAGGGGTCAATAATAGAAGTCGTTAAATTATTTTTTTTTAATTTAATTGACTTTTATTTTTTTTAAAACCCCTTAAATTGATTCAAGTAATACTATACTGTAGGGAATATTTCAAGCGTTAATCCCCTAGCTTGAACCCCATTGTGATCATACACTAAAGTACGGTGGCGTCCAAAGGGAAAGAAGATAGAGCAAAAGAGTCGCTAACAAGTTTTTTTTTAGGAACTTGTAAACCGTTCACAGGGTGAAGGTTACACCCCTTAGCGATCCAAGAGATCGTCAACTCCATAAGGTCTTGAACCAAATAGGGTTCGGGGATGAAGGTACAAATCCAACCTAAAAGAGATTGAAGCTGCCCTAATAATAGGCCTCTACTTTGTTCAGATCGTATTCATGTGCGCTTTCTGACTAACATACAAGCAATAGGATTAACCCTAAACCTGTTTATCTATGTTGGTTGAATTTAATGCACAAATAAATCTATTGTTGGCGATCACTTGAATTATAATCAAATTAACCCTAAACAAGATTATTAATATATATCTTATTAAGCGTGATTACAAGTACCAATTCCCTTTAAACATGCATAAAAGGCGTGATCAAGCAATAACAATAAATATATCAAGCAACATAATAATAATAATTAAAATAATAATAATAATTAAGAAAATCATTATAACAATTTTAATCTTAATTAACACAATCATGTTAAAGCATAACAATAGCAAGATCCTAGGCATGTACTAACAAGATTAATAACAAACCCTAGCATGTCAATTAGCATAAAAATCATATCTTTAACCCTAACATGATACTAACAATCATAAATATTAGGAAGAACATAAAAGGCATCATACTTTTAATCATACTTGATATTAAAATTACTCTAGACATGATACTAGGAATTTATAACAACCTAAGCATGAACTCTATATCATAACATCAATAAAAAAAAATCATTAAATCACTTACTTTGATGTCTCGTACCTCTTTCTAATAACAAAATACACACGTTAGTAACTTCAAGGAAAATAATAAACAAAACAATCAAACTAAATAATGGAAATAGAGATTTGGGACCAAACCTTCAGGAATTAAACCTTTCACGTCTAGGGCAAAGGCAACTTCGAATATGGCTAGGTTTTTCTAGATCTAATGAATGCAGAATTTTTATATTTGTGAAAAGCTAGTTTAGAAAAAAAAAAGAGAGAGAGTAATCAAGAAAATCTTGATGAGAGTTGGTGAATGATTATTGAAGAGAATGAGAACTGATGATTGTTGGTGAGAATTGGTTATCGAAAATGGAGTTTTTAATACGTTATTTATAGAAAAATCAGCTCAAAAGATAAAATATCAAAAACAGAGTCCTGACGCACATAAAACGATGTTGGCACCAACGCTGGCTATTGGCGCTAGACGCCAACACTAGCGCCAGGCGCCAATGCTAGCGCCAGGCGCCAAGCGTAGCGCCAGGCGCCAAGCGTAGCGCCAGGCGCTACAGCTGGCGTTTGGCGCTGATCTGGAAATTCACGCGTTTTCTTAAAATCAGATAAAAATTGCCATACAGGAGGATAAAATCGTATTTTTCCTCAAAAATACTCTTTGATTTTAATTAAAACTCTGAAAAGTCAACAAAAGTCAATTTATCAATGCTAATTGAATTAGAAATGAAAAGAACCTTCTAGAAGAATCTAGAAGACTAAAGCCATTCCTAATTGCATTAGGAATGATAAATCTATATTAGGCCCTCCCCTAGATCATTTGGCCGCATATAAGGCTTAAATCGGGCCCACTTCAGTAAATTAGCCATAACTTCCTCAATATTCATCGGAATTGGGCTTATAATATATCGTTGGAAAGATCTTGTCAAGCCCCATCCAACTACACTACTATTGGACCCATATCATGGACCAACCAAACTGGATTGGCTGTTTTCTTAAAATAAGTTTTCAAAAACAGAGAGAAGAGAAAAGAAATTAAAACTATCCGCAACACTAAACTTTCCACACTTTCACTTCATTCGATTATGATTCGACGTGAAAGGTACTTATCACTGGGTTTGGTTTTTGGGGAGACACAAATGGGTGTCTACAGAAGCCCCCACTTTGACTGAGTTTGGAGAAACGCAAGCTTCGATAACAAAAGTCAAAGTATCGATGGGGACGGAGAATGATTCAGAACGTTCTGCGATCCTAAATCACTCTTGTAACGCCGATACCTGCAAACTAGCGTTAGTCAAACACATAAGAGAGTTAAGAAACGCGTATCTTGCACCGTCGAGCACACGTCTCTGAAAGTAACCGATTTGCTGCCACTTTACTGTTGTTTGTGACAACCTTCCACAATCTAGGGGACGCCATCTTGTTGTTTTGATGTTCACTCGTCTCTGAACAATGGAGCTTCTTTTTGAGGATTGTTCACTCGTCTCTGAACAAATGAGCTTGACAATAGGATGTCCACGCGTCTCTGAGAAAAAGAGCTTGAAATAAATGTCCACTCGTCTCTGAACAATAGAGCTTTGATTATATGTCCATGATGGGCGTTAGAACGGTCGCACATTCCACACTCAATCAAACACATTTATTAACAAACACCTTACAAACCAAGCATAATGACAAGTAAGAGTTCGGTCCACAAGGAACGGGATATGGTTGCCAAAGATCTTAACACTTAAGCTAATTCGAAGTCAATGGTGAATTGGGGTTCGTCAAGAAGACAAACAAACTATGGTTCTAAATCAATGGATTAAGGACACTAGGGAATGGGATCCACTCAACCAAGGAAAATAGACAAACGGGGAGTGAAATAGATAAGATATAGCAAGGACTAAACTTAGAAATAGTAAGATCAACCTCATGCAATTAGGAAACTACTCACACTACTAAACTTAGATTCCTCAATAGTTTAGCAATAGAAGATACATAATCAAATTGCAATAAGTAATGCCATGCTTCATTCACATTTCCATGTCAAACTAAGCATATCATGCTATCAAGCTCCTAAATCAGGGGTAGCTAATCCTATCATTGAAGAACTAACACGCAATCTCATATAATCAATTTAATTGCAATACAAACATCAATGCTTCTCCCACATTTGCATAATTAACCCAAAAAGTCGAGCTTCACCCAACCCCTAGCAAGTAGACTACTCACAACTCATATTAATCAACATGCAAACAAGTATTAGGGTTCTAACTTCTTCAATAATTGGGGAAAAGTGATTAACAATTGAAATAACTATCATCCAATAATAAATTATCAAGAACTAAGAAGATTTAAATATCATGCAACAACAAATAAAATCAGAAATTTAATGGAGAAAAGTAGAAGGAATTTACTAATTGAGGCTTGAAATTGTTGAATACAAA